TCTCTAAAAGTTTCTCCTACTTTAGCATTCAGGTCCCCTACCACAATTACTCTCTCACTTGGTTCAAAGGCTCCTATACATTCACTTAACATCTCCCAAAATCTCTCTCTCTCCTCTGCATTCCTCTCTTCTCCAGGTGCATACACGCTTATTATGACCCACTTCTCACATCCAACCTTTACTTTAATCCACATAATTCTTGAATTTACACATTCATATTCTCTTTTCTCCTTCCATAACTGATCATTTAACATTACTGCTACCACTTCCTTTGCTCTAACTCTCTCAGATACTCCAGATTTAATCCCATTTATTTCCCCCCACTGAAACTCTCCTACCCCCTTCAGCTTTGTTTAGCTTAGGGCCAGGACATCCAACTTCTTTTAATTCATAACATCAGCAATCATCTGTTTCTTGTCATCCGCACTACATCCACGCATATTTAAGCATCCCAGTTTTATAAAGTTTTTCTTCTTCTCTTTTTTAGTAAATGTCTACAGGAGAAGGGGTTACTAGCCCATTGCTCCCGGCATTTTAGTCGCCTCATACGACACGCATGGCTTACGGAGGAAAGATTCTTTTCCACTTCCCCATGGACTATAGAAGAAATAAAGAAGAACAAGAGCTATTTAGAAAAAGGAGAAAAACCTAGATGTATGTATATATATATATATATATATATATATATATATATATATATATATATATATATATACATGCATGTGCGTGTCTGTGAAGTGTGACCAAAGTGTAAGTAGGAGTAGCAAGATATCCCTGTTATCTAGCGTGTTTATGAGACAGAAAAAGAAACCAGCAATCCTACCATCATGCAAAACAGTTACAGGTTTTTGTTTCACAGTCATCTGGCAGGACGGTAGTACTTCCCTGGGTGGTTGCTGTCTACCAACCTACTACCTTGATAATAATAATAATAATAATAATAATAATAATAATAATAATAATAATAATAATAATAATAATAATAATAATAATAATAATAATAATATGACAGTGTTAGTTATCGTAAAGATGAAGCCTTACAATACCAGAATAGGGAAGTCTGAGCTATAGCTTCATCACAAGTAAATGTTTAGTGATATTTAATGGTGTACTGTGACACTGTAGTGAGAAACTGTATTTTGTAATGGAATGTTATGCAGGGTAAATTACTGTATCGCGGAGTGAGATGAGATACAGTGAACATAGTATTGTGTGTGTGGTGATGAGATACAGTGAACAGTGTTGTGTGTGTGGTGATGAGATACAATGAACAGTGTTGTGTGTGTGGCGATGAGATACAGTGAACATAGTATTGTGCGTGTGGCGATGAGATACAGTGAACAGTGTTGTGTGTGTGGCGATGAGATACAATGAACAGTGTTGTGTGTGTGGTGATGAGATACAGTGAACAGTGTTGTGCGTGTGGTGATGAGATACAATGAACAGTGTTGTGTGTGTGGCGATGAGATACAATGAACAGTGTTGTGTGTGTGATGAGATACAGTGAACATAGTATTGTGTGTGTGGTGATGAGATACAGTGAACAGTGTTGTGTGTGTGGCGATGAGATACAGTGAACATTGTTGTGTGTGTGGTGATGAGATACATTGAACATAGTATTGTGTGTGTGGTGATGAGATACAGTGAACAGTGTTGTGTGTGTGGTGATCAGATACAGTGAACATAGTATTGTGTGTGTGGCGATGAGATACAATGAACAGTGTTGTGTGTGTGGTGATCAGATACAGTGAACATAGTATTGTGTGTGTGGTGATGAGATACAATGAACAGTGTTGTGTGTGTGGTGATGAGATACAGTGAACAGTGTTGTGTGTGTGGTGATCAGATACAGTGAACATAGTATTGTGTGTGTGGTGATGAGATACAATGAACAGTGTTGTGTGTGTGGTGATGAGATACAGTGAACAGTGTTGTGTGTGTGGCGATGAGATACAGTGAACAGTGTTGTGTGTGTGGTGATGAGATACAGTGAACGGTGTTTTGTGTGTGTAGTGATGAGATACAGTGAACAGTGTTGTGTGTGTGGTGATGAGATACAATGAACAGTGTTGTGTGTGTGGTGATGAGATACAGTGAACAGTGTTGTGTGTGTGGTGATGAGATACAGTGAACATAGTATTGTGTGTGGTGATGAGATACAGTGAACAGTGTTGTGTGTGTGTGGTGATGAGATACAATGAACAGTGTTGTGTGTGTGATGAGATACAGTGAACATAGTATTGGGTGTGTGGTGATGAGATACAGTGAACAGTGTTGTGTGTGTGGCGATGAGATACAGTGAACATTGTTGTGTATGTGGTGATGAGATACAGTGAACATAGTATTGTGTGAGTGGTGATGAGATACAGTGAACAGTGTTGTGTGTGTGGTGATCAGATACAGTGAACATAGTATTGTGTGTGTGGCGATGAGATACAATGAACAGTGTTGTGTGTGTGGTGATCAGATACAGTGAACATAGTATTGTGTGTGTGGTGAT